AGGCGAGCGAGTACAGGTGGCACAATGTAGAGGCCTCAGGAGGAGGCAGTGCGGGGCGCACGCGCAGGCCAGCTGCAGGAAAGGTGGGAGAACGGGCCGACCTGCAGGGCCCACACAGGCCTGTGGCCACTGTCGAGACAGGGAGGAGATCGGGGGCCAGCACAGGGACCTGAGGTCACTCACCTGCCACAGGGCAGTGAGCACGGGTGGTCTCGGGCCCTGACGCCTCACTCCATCCCACAGGAGCCGGACCTATGACATGATCCAGTACTATCAGAACGACATCCCCTACTGAGCCCGTGGCTGCAATCAGGGCCGGAACTAGCCGGCCCTCGCCAGCTGCGCCGCCCGAGCGGGGACTGCGGGCAGCCCTGTCCTTCATCCACAGGAGAGAGCGACGCCCCCCGGAGTGGCTCCTTCCTCAGGGGTGGCCCACGTGTGGCGTGGGAGACTGATGGGACAATCACACAGTGACACTGTCTGCACGGGTGTGAATACTGTTTGCACTGGACACATTCCCTACCTGTCTTATGCATAGGTACATAAAGTATTTTCTTGTGTATAAAAAAATTATTATATTCAACTTAAGATTGTAACCATCGTGAACAAATAAAAACTAAAATAATGCACCGTGTTGGAACTGGAATAGCAGCTTGTAAATAGCGTTCTGAGTGCTCTTCCAGCCAAGAAGTGACTCCTGGGGTTGGAGGGTCTCCCCCACAGCTCCCTGGCCTGTAGGGACACACCAGACAACGCCTGTCTCAAGGGGCGGCTGTACTTTTCTGAGACAAACTGGGGGCGGGGGGGGGAACGGGACACTTGCCTTGCATGCAGTTAACCTGGGCTCAATCCCCAGCACCCGATATGGTCCCTAAACACTGCCAGGAGTGATCCCTGAGCAGAGCCTGGTGTGGCACAAAAACTAAAAAGACAAACTCAGCACAGTTGGATGCACCAAATCAGCTTGGTGCCTCCATTCCGTCCACAGCACAGCTGCCTGCTCTTGGCTTCCCCAGAGGGCACCAGGCCACCTGTACGTCTTAGCATTGCTGTTCGCCCACCTCGGCACCACCCACTCCTGTCTCCCCTTGTCCACTCAACCACTGCTCTCCAGAACTTTCCAGTCCTCGTGCCGTAAGCCCTGAGCAGTCATCTGTCACAGCCTGTAGGACCTCTGAAGTAGGATATAAAGGTCCGAAAAGTGGGGGTGGGGGGCAACCTGGAACTTCTAGGAATAAATCACTTAACAGCACAAAATGGGCTAAACAGCAAATAAAAATAGGGAAGTAATGCATCAGTGGAGCACTTGCATATCTGAGGCCCTGGGTGTGCGCCTCAGCGTGACAAAATAGGTGAACCAAAAATAATTTTTTAAAAGGGCTGGAAGGAGTACAGGGTTAAGGTGCCTGCTTGCTCTGCACACAGCAAATTATGGTTCGATCCCCAGCACCGTGTATGGTCCCCAAGTCCCACCAGGAGCGATCCCTGATCTCAGAGTGAGGAATAAGCCCTGAGAATTGCTGGGAGTGACCCAAAACCCAAAAAAAGGAAAATACAAGAAGCTATCCCGGAAGATCCCTGAGCATACAAAACCAGTTTGGTCAGGTATGCAGAACTCAGTTTACCCTTTTTTTACAAGATTAACTTGATCTGCATCACTTCTTGTTCAAGCCTCTGGAAATTACAAACAAAACTTAAACTATTTCCAGGGCTGATAGGAAGTAACCGCCGACCTAGCACTGACGCCGGCTCTCGGTAGCAGCTCCTCCCCAGGAGAATCCATCCGCCATCCCTGCTCAGGCCATCCAGGCTCGAGTCTTCCTGTACGCATACTTTCGGTTTTCAGGGCTTACTCCTGGCCCTGCACTCAGAAATCACTCCCAGCAGGGCTTGGGAGACTATATATGGCTCAGGGGATTCAACCAGGGTGACCCTCATGCAAGAGCCTTAACCCCTGTGCTCTGATGTGTGCACAACCAGCTTTCACTAATTACAGTGCAGCCTCACTGGCTCACTGTTCCAAATTCAAAGAAACTACCCCCAAGAGTGAATCTCCAGGCTGGTGATCTCCCACGCGGGGGCTCCCTTCGATATTTGTCTCTGGAAGTCAAGCTCTGCTGCTCCTGGTGTTCAGAGATTTCCTGGTGCCTTCCTGAACTTGGGTCGGTGACCCATCCGATTCTGCTTGGGAATGGGGGAGACGTTTCCCTGCGTTGGTTGAACTGTTGCTGGGAAACAGCATGTTTGATGGGCCAGAGAAACCGGCAGGAGGTGAGCATGTGGCTACACAGGCCTGGGACCCTGGTTTGAATCCCACAACATGAACGGTTCCCCCAGCACCACCAGGGGTTACTCCTGAACAGAGCCAGGAACAGCGCCTTAGTGACCCAAATCCTCTACCTCAATCCCGCCAAGATAAACATGGTCAAGGTCGAGTGGCCGCTAAAGGCAAAGATGACCACCACCTGGTCTGACCTTTGCACCCACGTGTGGCCCAAACCCTCTACCCCACCCCATTCGTGCTTGAGGTTTAGGGCCTCAAATCTACCTCCCTCCACCAACCAAGGCTTCCTCTGGGCACCCTTCTAGCCTGCATCTTAGGGCCTTTTGGAAAACATGAAGTTCGGGATATTCGGAATTGAGTAGCCCCTCTGAAAAGTTCTTTTCGGAGAAGGGAGCTCCCGAGCACCCCTCTAGGCAGTTCTCAACCAACCAGCATGGCGGTTCAACACAAGGATGCAGTGCCGTCAGGACCTGCGGTGCTGGGATTACTAGGCCTCCCCGTGGCGCCGGGAACTCCAAGGGATGCAGCCAGTGGTGCTCAGGGGTCATGTGTGGGGACCAGGGTCAGCTGCACATATGCTCCCCACCACTCCCTCTGGGGTAACTTGAATTCATGCCCACATTAAGAGGCACTCAGACTTCTCAGTAGGATACATTATTTGCAGAAGTTTCAAGACTAGATGATTTCGAAAACAGCTCTAGTAGAGCATTCAAATACTTACTTAGTGAAAACCTTGTCTCTCTGAGCAGGCACCCTCCCTAAGCTTGGACAATCCTTAGTTTTGGGGTTTTTTTTTCCTTTTTGGGTCACACCTGGCAATGCACAGGGGTTACTCCTGGCTCTGCACTCAGGAATTACTCCTGGAGATGCTCAGGGGACCATATGGGATGCTGGGAATCAAACCCGGGTCGGCAGTGTGCAAGGCAAACGCCCTACCCACTGTGCTATTGCTCCAGCCCTGGATAATCCATAGATTGAACAGTTGCTGAAGAAAAGAACCCTCACTGGGCAAGAGAGCTAGTATAGTAAGTAGGGCACCTGCCTTGCCCTGCCGGATTCGATTCCAGCACCACATATGTTGCCCCCAACAGATCCTCAGTGCCAGAAGTGACCCCCGAGCACTGCCAGGTGTGGCCCACAAAACAAGAACACTGTTTGCTAACAAAACATGTTTTGAAGGCAAAAATAAGCCCCACCTGATCTAAAGCATCCACCCTCCCTCAGCTAGTGGCTGCTTCCTCTTGGCACCGCTGTAGACAGCATCTTCGGAAGCCCTTTTGGAAAACAAATGGAGATCTAATTTTTTAAAAATTAAATCCCATTTTGTTTATATGATTAAATCTTGGCTTCTGGGAATCTGCCCCAGGGAATTTTTCAATCCTTGGCTACTATTCTCATTATAGTTACCAAATTAAGCTCTCAAATGTCTTGTCTACTACTGCATGGTTTTAAATGACTGTCAGGGGGGCAGTTGGAAGTTCATCCCCAGCACTGCATATGGTCTGCCATGCACCAACAGGAATTACCAATGAGCACAGAGCCAGCAGTAGCTTCTGAGCATCGATGAATGTTGCCCACCCCCCAAAAAAGAAAAGTCTAATATAGTTCACCACTGAAGAATAAATCAGAGGCTTTTATGTCCCTAGGGCACAATAGTACAGTGGTTAAGACATTTGCCTTAATAGCACAGTGGGTAGGGCGTTTGCCTTGCACGCAGCCGACCTAGGTTCGAGTCCCAGCATCCCATATGTGCCCCGAGCACCACCAGGAGCAATTCCTGAGTGCATGAACCAGAAGTAACTCCTGTGCATGGCTGGGTGTGACCCAAAAAGAAAAAAAAAAAAGATATTTGCCTTCCACATAGCTGACCAGGGTTCAATCCCCAGCATTCCATATTATCCCTTGAGCCTGCCAGGAATAATTCCTGAGTGCAGAGCCAGAAATAACCTCTGAGCATCTTCAGGTGTGGTCCAAAAATAAGAACAAAGATACTGAATTAGCAGTAACCAAGCATTTCCACTTGATCTATACACGGAAAATAGTGACCCAGATACTTGTAAAACATACTCACAATTGCATTCCTTATCAGAGCTAAAAGATGTCAATAACCCGAATGTTGTCCATGGATGAATAAAGAAAATGCTCATTAGGGATTGGAGCAATCGTACAATGTGTAGGGTGCTTGCCTCACTCATAGAGGACCTGGGTTTGCTCACTGGCATCCCATTCGGTCCCCTGAACGCTGTCGGGTGTGATCCCTGAGCACAGAGCCAGGAGTTAGACCCAGCGTACAGTCAGGTGTAGCCCCAGAACAAAAATAAACACAGAATCCTGTTTGCAGAATAAACACAACTGAAGGTTCATCGTTCCCACAAAACTGAACATCTTACAGAAAAAGGACGATTCCCCCGCGCAGTCCTCAGGAGACCACACTCCAGGACAACACCCAGAGAAGGCTCGCACAGTAGGGCCGAGTCCCCCCAACGCTGCTCTGCCTTGGTCTGGCCTGCAGGCGCCGACCCGAGTCCTGAGCCGGTAGAGTTGTTAGAAGACCCCTCCGAGGAGGTGGCCGCAGCAGGCGCGTCGCTGGTGGGGGTCGTAGGCGCGGGCGGCCTATAGCTCTGCGGCCACTAAGACTCCCCGCGCGCGCAGAGGCGGAGACGCACCCCCGAGCGCTGCCATGGTCGTCTCCCTATCCGCCCCACCCCCGACCCCGGGGGCACCCAGAAACCACACGCGAGACAGGGGTGCACATGGCAAGGCCCGCGTGATGCGCCCTAGGCGGGCAGCAGCCCGCGCGTGCGCAGCTCAAGCAGCCCGGACAGCGTGTAGCGCAGGCGGCGGAGGGTGGTTTCCGAGCACAGTTGCGGGAAGCCCTGGCGGAAGGCGTCGGGGCTCATCAGCAGCAGCTGCAGCAGCGGCAAAACCAGGATGCCGAGCGGGAGCAGGAGCAGAAACTGCAGCGCGCCCAGGGCCCAGAGCCTGCAGAGCCGAAGAGCGCGGTGGCTTGCAGGGCTCGGGGAGCTGGACCACACCCGCAGCCCCGCAGCCCCGCAGCCCCGCACCCGTCACCGGGCTCACCCGATGCCCACCGCGTCTGCGCGGCTAAACCACCGCTTCTCCTGGGGGAGAGAAGGGAGAAGGCGTCCAGCTCCGCGTCGGGGAGCTTCTTGCAGGGGCTGTCCCGTCGGATGGGAGCGGGCACCGAGGGCCCGGCGGCCCGTCGTGGGGAAGTCACGCCGGGAGGGGGGCCGGGCTGTCGGGCTGATGGCCCTCGTGGCGGGGCGGGACAGGGAGCTCACATAGTCGGCCTTGGCCACCTCCTCCATGAGCGAGCCCGCGCAGTCCTGCAGCCGGCGAGGCTGAGAGCTGCCCCTGCGGAGACAGCCATCGGCGTGCGCGCGCGGCCCTGGCCCCGCGGCCGCCCTCCTCGCACGCCCCGCAGTCCCCGGGCCCTTACAGCTCGGCGCCGCCGCGAGAAGCGTCCAGCGCAGCCGCCGCCTTCATCACCTTACCCTGCAGCTCCTGGAGGGACGGGAGCGAGCCCTGGGGGCTGGCTGGGGGCGGGCCGGGCCGGCCTGGGGCAGGGATGGAGGCGCGCGGGTCTCGGGGCGGCGAGGGGCGGGGGGCGCGGGTCTCGGGGCGGGGTGGGGCGGGGGGCGCGGGTCTCGGGGCGGCGAGGGGCGGGGGGCGCGGGTCTCGGGGCGGGGTGGGGCGGGGGGCGCGGGTCTCGGGGCGGGGTGGGGCGGGGGGCGCGGGTCTCGGGGCGGCGAGGGGCGGGGGGCGCGGGTCTCGGGGCGGGGCGGGGGGCGCGGGTCTCGGGGCGGGGTGGGGCGGGGGGCGCGGGTCTCGGGGCGGCGAGGGGCGGGGGGCGCGGGTCTCGGGGCGGGGTGGGGCGGGGGGCGCGGGTCTCGGGGCAGCGAGGGGCGGGGGGCGCGGGTCTCGGGGCGGGGCGGGGGGCGCGGGTCTCGGGGCGGGGTGGGGCGGGGGGCGCGGGTCTCGGGGCGGCGAGGGGCGGGGGGCGCGGGTCTCGGGGCGGGGCGGGGCGGGGGGCGCGGGTCTCGGGGCGGCGAGGGGCGGGGGGCGCGGGTCTCGGGGCGGCCGCACCTGTAGCACTTGACTCTGCTCCTGGAAGTTGGCCCAGGTCTCCTGGATCCGCTGCGTGCCCTGGGGTGCAGAGAACGCTGATTCAACTGGAGGGGGCACGCCCCTCTCCGCCCTCCAGCACCTGCCTGGGCTCCAACCCCGCTCCCCACCCCCCAAAACACACACCCGGTTCCGCCCGCACCTGCCGTAGGCCCTCCACCTGCTCGCTGTGCCTGGCCTCCATCACCTCCAGCTGTTTCTTCCCCAGGGGTCCCAGCGACGTCAGGAGCCGAGAAGGCGCGGCTCCCGGCCGACCCCGAGATCACGGCTCCACCCGCGGCGCTGCCAGCCGACTCCGGCCCGCCCTCGCGGCCCCGCCCACGCGGCCCTTTCCGGGGACCCTAGGGACCCCCCGGAAGTACCTGCAGTGCCACCAGTTGGGTTTCGAACTGCTGCCCCTCGGACTGCTGCCTCCGCTTATCTCCTCCGTAGTAGAAGAGCTAAGGGTGCGAGCGGTGAGCGGGAGCGTGCGGGGCCTCCGGAGCCGGGGCGGGGGGCGGGGGGCGGAAACCAGGCGGGGACTCGGGAGGACCCGGGCGGAGCCGCTACCTGACTTGACAGCTCCTCCCACTGCTCCTGTAGCTGCCGGCGGTGTCGCTCCTTCGGGCGAGGCGGAGAGGGCGGTCACGCGGGGTGGGGGTCCCCGCCCGCGCCCCTCCCTCCGGGGAACGCACCAGCTTCTGTTGGCGCTGCCGCTCCGCGTCCAGCAGTTCGCACACCCGCTCCGCGCGCTTCCGGGCCGCCTCGCGCGCCTCAGCCCTCGCGGTCAGCGCCACCTGGTTTCTCCTTCGCTGCAGGCTACAGAGGGGGGCACCGAGGCTCCAGCAGCCGCGGCCCGTGCCCTCCCCTCCGTGGGGCACCTGGGCCTGGAGCGAGGCGCAGACCCGGGAGGCGCCGCACCGCCGCGGTCCCCGCGCACCTGCGCTCGCGCTCCCGCAGGCCCTGCAGGCGCCCGGTGAGGCTCTCGCTCTCCGCCTGGAGCCCGCGCACCAGCTCCTCCAGCTCCTGGTTCCGCTGGCGCCCGTCGCGGTTGTCCTTCTGCAGCTGCAGCAGCAGCTCCTCCTGCGTCTCGGCCATAGCTCCCAGGGTTCTGCCGCACCCCCGTCCTGGTCTCGCCGCCGGCACCCGCGAGCGCGGGGCGCGTCACAATGTGCTGCGGCCAGTTCGTAGGCTCGACCCGCGAGCCCAGCCCCGCGCGGCTCACCGAGGACCGCGCTCATTCCGTCATTTCCAAGTTATTGATGGACCATCATGGGATCAGTGAAAGGTTAATAAAATACTAATAACTAATTCCGAAAAATCGAAGACTGGTTTCCCTATACTGCACATGGCACTTGCAAAATGATGGATCTCTCTTGTGGGGAAGACTTGGAAATCTATATCAGGATCCATAAATATGATCCTATCTTTTGGCGCAATTATTCCACTCCTGGGAATTTATCAAAGGGAAGGAGGAGAAAAGTGAATTACTAAGCATTCAGTAGTTCATTGAAATGGCTACCGCATTCGCAAAAAGGAAGTAAGTATTTTAGCAAAAATAAAGATATAGTGTCTAGTGGGAAAAGTTTGATCTAGCACTGATGCTAAAATAAGATTAATAATTATAAGGTGGCAATATTCTTTAAAGGAAACAAAGGCAGCTATTTTGTTTGGAAAGGCTATAGGCATGTTAGTGCTTTTAAACATGCCTTAATCAATTAGGAACTTAGATCCTGTAGCACTGTCCTCCTGTTGTTCATCGCTTGAGAGGGCTCAGTAGCGTCTCCATTGTGACAATTGTTACTGTGTTTGGCATATCAAATACGTCATGGGTAGCTTGCCAGGCTTTGCCGCAGGCGAGATACTCTCGGTAGTTTGCCAGGCTCTCCGAGAGGGGCAGAGGAATCGAACCCGGGTCGGCTGCGAGCAAGGTAAGCGCCGTACCGCTGTGCTATTGCTCCAGGAACTTAGATACAAAACTAAATAATTGGATAACCAAGTTAAAAGAGGTACACAAAAAACTAAGTGGTTTCTGGGGCCAGAGTAATAGTACAGCGGGTAGGGTGTTTGTTCTACACGTGGTCTACCTGAGTTCGATTACCTGACACCCCATATGACCCCCTGAGCCTGGCAGGAGTGAATCCTTAATGCAGGGCCAGGAGTAAGCCCTAAGCGCCACCTGGTGTGCCCCACCCGGGGGGGATAAGAGCAGTTTCTTTGGAGGTTGTTCAAGATCCAGAAAAATTCATGTATTAAAGAGAACACCATCATTTCAGTGGTTTTTTCAGTAGGCACAGAAAACATGATAGAATTGAACTAAATGATTTCTAAAGTCCCTTCCAAAGGGAATGATAAGAACTCTAACCTGATAAAGCTTATTAGTTACGGGGCTGGAGCAATAGCACAGTGGGTAGGACATTTGCCTTGCACACGGCCAACCCAGGTTCGATTCCCAGCATCCCATATGGTCCGCTGAGCACCGCCAGGGGTAATTCCTGAGTGCAGAGCCAGGAGTAACCCCTGTGCATCACCGGGTATGACCCAAAAAGAAAAAAAAAATAAAGACTATTAGTTATAACGTACACAGTTTAGTGAGTAGGGAGTATCCTATCCTATATGCAGCTGAAGGCAAGTCTTTAAAAAGCGGCAAGAACAATGATGATCCTGCTAAGGTCTAACAGGTCTTCCACAAAGCAAGAAAAAAAGTAAAGTTGGAAGGGTGTGAAGTTAGTTCCCTCCCCTAATGCTTTCCTTTCACATTCCTTCTTTTTGGGGGGTGGGGTGGGGATGGGGGCATACCCAGCAGTGCTCAGGGCTTACTCCTGGCTGTGCACAGGGGTCGTCACTCCTGGTGGGCTAGGAGGGCCATATGAGGTGCCAGGGATTGAACTGAACCGGGGTCAGCCACATTCGAGGAAAGCACTTAACCTGCTGTACTATCACTCTGGTTCCATCACATTCCTTATCAATAGAAGCCAGGGATCAAACCCAGGGCTGAAAGGTTTCTTGAGTGGTTGGCTGCTCAGACGTCCTGAACTGAGGGAGGGACGGGAGGGGGAGGGGGAGATTCTTCTGTCCTCCCAGGAAGAATGGTGGAATGGAAACAACATCTAAGATCAAAGCTGAAACACTCCAAGAACCTGCCCTGATGAAGGTGCCCTGTTTTCAATCTACCGGGATCAAATCCACAGCACTCTGAGGCTACTCCTGGCTGTGGGGTCAGGGTTTAAACGAAGTCTCCTGCATGCACTCTTCAGTCCTGTTTTTTTCGGTTTTGGATTTTGGGCCACACGCAGCGATACTCAGGGCTTACTCCTGACCCTGCATTCAGGAATCCCACTCCTGGCAGTGCTCAGGGATGCCAAGGTTCAAGCTCTGGATGGTGATGTACAAGGGAAGAGCCCTACCTGCTTCGCTATTGCTCCAGCCTCCGCCCTGTCTTATTTCTTTTTCTTTTTTTTTGGGGGGGGTGCTTTTGGATCACACCAGCAATGCACCCAGCAATGCACAGGGGTTACTCCTGGCTCTGCACTCAGGAATTACTCCTGGCAGTGCTCAGGGGACCATATGGGATGCTGGGAATCAAACACGGGTCAGCCGCGTGCAAGGCAAACGCCCTACCTGCTACTATTGCTCCAACCTGTTTTATTTTTTATAGGGGCCTCTGCAGCAGTGTTCCAGGAGCAGAGGCCCCACACAGCACTACTCTGCAGGGCTTCACACGTCAAGGCAGAGGCTCTCTGGATTCTGAGTCGTTTGAAAGTCACTTCGGGGACTGGAGAAATGATCATAGGACTGGAGCATGTGCTTTGCAAAAGGGAGCCCCAATTTCAATCTTCAGCACTATACAGTCCCCACAGAGCCCTCCACGGGGAACTGTCCCCAACTGCACCGGCACAGTGTAGCCCCCCAATCAAAACAAATCAAAGCAGTTTCAACATGCAAGTCTCAAAGAATCTGATTCACGTGTTTTTTCGCCTCACGTGTCAGTGGAGAAAACACATTAAGTATGTGAGCCGAGAGAATGGTGCCATCAGCACCCTTTGCATCTGCAGGACCAAATCCTGTGGGATAAAAGGCAAAAAGGCCCAGGCCATCGGGGAAGGAAGAGCAGGGAGGTGTTCAGAGTTAAAAGGAGGTTGGGATGCAGTACAGCAGCAGTGTGTGTGGCCCTGGGTTCGATCCCCAGACTGCAAAAATAAATAAGAAAAGACTGCGAGAAGACACTGGCATCTGGGGCTGGAGTACAGGGGGCACCCTAGATACTCCAAGTGATGTCAAGAGTGACCCCTAAGCACTGCCAGGTATGCCTAGACCACCCCATCCTCCCCAAAACAAGGGTCCCTTCTGGAGCCTCAGGCTTGGTTTTATGCTTGTACTGCCTGTGAAAGTCAAGATGAAGTTGACTGGGGGTTTCCGGAAGGGCTGCCTATTTAAAAAATAATAAAATTGGCTAGAGTCTACGATGGGCAGGGCATTTACCCCGAATGTAGCTGAATAGGTTTGATCCCCAGGGTCAGTCCCCAGCACCGCCAAATGTGGCCCAAACTCCTCACTGCACCCCATCCTCTTAAGAACAGAGGCTGGAGAACTGGGTTTGATCCCTGGCACTGTCTAGACCCCTCAGCACTATAGGAAGATCCACCCAGTCCCCTCAGAATGTAGTTCTGCTTTTTTGCAGCAGCTGCTCCGGCTGCCCAGCTGTTGACTTGACATCACCAGCAATAGTATCAAACTAAATCACTGAAAACAGTGAATAGGAGATCTGAGAAATAGGGCTGGAGAGATAGTACAGCTCCTAGGGCACTTGTATGAATGACCAGAGTTCGATCCCTGCTAATCCATATGGTTCCATGACCCACCAGGAATGATTTCTGAGGGCAGTCAGGAGTAACCTGAGAACAGCTGGGTGAGCCTCCCATTCCCCACCCCTCAAAAAAAAAAAGCTGTTTGTGCTCAGAGATCACTCCTGGTGGGCTCGGGGGACCAAATGGGATGATGATAGAACCTGCCACATGGAAGAAGAGTACCGGGTCACTGTACTCTCTGCACCCACCCTCCCCCTACCCCTTTAAAGCATTTTAGAGAACAGTATTCCATTTTTTCAGGAAGCCCTGGGACAAGTGCTGGGACCAGTGCATATCAGAAGTGTATGAACTACAACAGCCTGAGGATGTGGTACTTCTTAGACTGCAGTGTCAGAGGCCTCCAGGGCTGTGCTCAGAGAGGCTCAGGCTGCCACGCAGGGCCACAGTCTGCACCAGGGGAGGCCTAGCCCCTGTGCTATCCCCAGTCCTGATTATTCTATTCCAGATTAAACATTTGGCAATGTTTGAGAATCCATAGTGGTCCATGGATACAGTACCTTAACCCCTTTCTCTCCGGCTAGCCGTGATTAAGTGATTCAAATATTGCTTAGATGAAAACACACACACAGATTTATTTCGAAGAGGGCTTGGGGAGACTGTACAGGTTAATGCACTTGCCTTGCTCAGTCTACCCGTTTGATGCTGATCCTTAGCACCACATCCTTAGCACACAGGGTCCTGGGGGCATGACCCTGAGCAGAGACAGGAGCAAGCTGAAGAGCACCTGTGTGACCCGTGATAAAAAAATAAAAAAGAAAAAAAAACAGGGTGCTGAGATCTGGGCTAACACCCAACACCCCTGGACATCGGGGTCGCCACGCCTTACTGCTGCCCGGTGCCGCTTGGACACCTGCAGTCTGCAAACGGACATCGAGAATGGCTGCCCACCCAGATGGTTCAACTGGCTTTTCCTCCTTGGCTTTCAGTCTGGGACGCCCACTCTACAGGTCAGGAGAGTTCTCAAAGGCATCAGGCTTTCATTCTTGCCCTTCAAAGACAAAAATTCTTTTCTTTCTTTCGTCTCCCCATCAAACCGAAAACAAGTAGACACAATGGACAGGAGCCAAGTGTGCCCCTTCCTCTTCAGTGACCCTAGATTGGGCCAGAGCTCCGGGTAGCAGCCACTTCAATGCTCCTCTTCACCCTACACCTACCTTGGCCGACTCAGGCCAGCATCGCCAAGATGCTGCTGACCCCAGAAAGCCAGGTCCACAGATGGGTGTCCGAACCCGGGGAGCACACTCATCCATGTGACAAGCATCCTCTCCTTAAGACAGTGGCAGGCAGGGACCCTTCTCAATCCCCTTTCCAAGGTCTCAGAAGCACTGGACAAAAGTACTGTCCTTTGCCAGGGAAACGGTGAGAACACTGAGCCACGCAGAAGTAAGTTTTCAATCAAGCTTTTAATGAAAAGATCATAAAATAACAGTTTCTCATCACTGTACATTAAGACTGCACGCTTCTGAATGGAGAGATCAGTTGTCGGTGAATTGCTTTTCTATGACACTTGAGGCTGCATACCTGCAGCTCTGACCTGAATTTACCCAAACTCTCGGGGAGGTGAACTCAATGTAATGACAGACAGCGGCGGTGGCCAGTACAGGAGTGCGATCACGGTGTCCCTCCCCCTTCCTGGGAAGGATATAAAGTGGGACATGATCCCTCTTCCAGTTCCAATGTATCAAAACAGTCACTACCCAGCCCTCCCCTTCGAGGTATTTTTGAATGGGCGACTGCCCACCTGGGGTCCCCCAAGGGGAAGGGGGAACGCAAGTTACGGTTTGGGTACAGAGAGGCTCCCCTCAGCACCTGGCCCCACAGGGCCCTACCAAGTGGAGGGGGGGAGCCCTGGGGATCCTCTCTGTCCCGAATGAGGTCTGTTAGGCAGCATTTCTGAGGTCAATAAATTACAGCAATAAATAGTAAGGTGAGGTAGGGGGAGGGGCTCTGGTAGGAACTTGAATGAGGTGACGAAAGCGGGGGGTCCTTGGGAGTGAGCCCTGGGCAGCCTCGATTCCCACAGCTCACACCCACCCCAATTTGGAATGTCAGACTGAGGCTCTGGCCAGGCCACCCTCCATCCCTTCACTCCTGGCACGAGTCATCGGTTCCATGACATGACTCCGGAAAAAGCTAGGACCGTGGTCCCTTCAGGGGCACAGACAGTCACTTGTCTGTCTCCTAAGGCCTGGCACCTCCGCCTTCTCCCCCTCGCCAAGGAGCTGGGACGGCTGCAGCTGCCTCTTCCCTGAGCTGCTCAGGCTTGACCCCAACTTAGGACAGCCACGGGAGGGCAGCTGGGGCACACGTGCCCAGCCAGCCCAGCCCAGATCGCACTCCTGCACAGCTGAGTCCAGTGAATACTGACGGGGTGGGAGTGGGCGGGACAGCCCAGCACCCCCAAGTGGTGACGACGGGAAACACACAACACACACACACAACATACACACACACACACAAGGCTGCATACAAAGCTGCATGAGGTTCTGGAGGTCGGCCGGTCGGTAGGTCCGGATCCGGATTGTTCATTGTTCCTTTCACAGGCTGAGGTGTATGGCTAAGCTGCAAGTCTCTGAGATTCTCGTTTGTTTAAACGTTTGTCTTTAACTTTTTTTGTTTTGTTCTGCAACTCTGGAGGAGCCTTTGCCGTGGCTCTGAATGGCGGGAGCTGCGGTGGTGGCGCTGGGCCCGCCACGTGCTCACCCCAAGTCTGAGAAATAAATACATTCATCACTGCACAAACATATTGATACAAAAACAACACTGTTCAGAGTGTCTGCACCATCTGTGTTGGTAAGGCCCAGCCCACTTAGCCCTTCCCACAGCCGGAAGCAGGGGGATATGAGGCCCCCCCCCATGGCTGGGGACACTGGAGCCCACCTAGTTTTTTGGCTTGAGAGGGACCCTCATGATAACGCCCCCCCATGGTCTTGAGCAGAACAGCAGAGGGATGTCCTCTTCATTCAGGGGCCTGAGACCTGCCTGGGGGCCGGTGGCCAAAACAGCTGCCGCTCTGGGATCAGCTGACCCTGACCACCAGGGTCTGGTCAGCGTAGGCCCATGCTCTTTGGTGCCAGCTGGGCTTGGAGAGGCCCAGGTGAATTAGCGGCCTCCGCCCCTGCCCAGCCCTGCGGCTGCCCTCTGCTGTCCAGCGCTGGCTCGGTGGGGTCTCTGGGGGAAGGTGGGATTCACTGGGACTGGCCTTACAGCTGCTGAGGTTGAAAACTGTAAAAGTTTATGTAAACAATGAGATAAATATATTAGTATTTTTTCTGAGCCCGTTGAGGTTCTATACTCATTCAAAATGTGCTTTGGTTTAAAAAATAGCTTTTGTGAATTTGGGTATGAGCTTTTTTTTCTTTTTTTTTTCCTTTTTGTTCCTTTCTCCTCTCCTACCTGATAACTGCTATTTTCTGTTTCCTGTTTTTTCCCGAAACATTCAGAATTAAGTGACTAAAGCAGAGAACTGTAAGCCGCCCCTGGCCTCCAAAGGCCCGATTTCCTCGCGGGGCTCTTAATACATCTCCACACACATACTCAGAAGTACAACACACTCAACATGAAATCAAAGGAAAATGAAAAAACCAAGAGTTGTGTTACTCCCACCCCACCCCGCAAACCCTTAAAATCTTAAATAGGAAACTAGTGTTTTGCCTTCTGGTTAAAATACAGAAAAAGCTCGATACAATACTCGGGTGGGTACAATACTATGTCGCACAAATGTCGTGGAGTGAGGGGCTTTGCGCCCAGTCCCTGAAACTCCGCATGTGAATTGCCTGCTCTTGCGAGTCACCACAGCACAGCACACCCTGGCGTGGGGGACAATTCCCGTGCAGTACAGACTTTGTGTCATGTAGCTTAAGTGCTGACAGGGTGGGGTGGGGAGAGCAGAGGGCCTGGAAACGGGGGTGTCCCTGGCCCCCGGACCCTCAGCCTGAGTTGCAGGCTCAGTTCTCCACTTCCCACCCAAAGGGCAGAGGCGGCAGCTGGAGGCTGGGAACACCACGGGGGCTCAGTCCTAGCGCCCTCACTCCCGAAGCACGCTGCTCGCCTCTTGGGTCCCTGAACTTTGTTTTCAGCTGGAGGGTCTCTGGAGGGGCGGGGAAGGGGATGATCCAGAATTTTTTGGTCTGAACTTAAAGTAGAAAAAGAGACAAGCACAAAGCAAAACGAGTCAGATCCAGCTGCCAGGCTGTGCTGGCCGAGGACGGGGGCCAGTCCAGGGGAGCTGACTCCAGCGGAGGGTCTGAAGTGACAAGACCCGAAGCGCTGGAGCCTGAGGACAGGTGGCGGTGGCCATCAGCCTCTTGCCGGAGCAGCCCGGGCCCCGGCCAGAGTGACCAAAGCAGGGCAGGGCCCCTCCCTGTGCTCCTTTGGTCGGCCCTCCCCAGGCATCCCACTGGCCAGAGGGAGGGGGCTGCAGGCCCAGGCCCAGGATGGGGGGGGCTCACTTCCACCCCACCCTAGCGCCCCTGAGCTCGCTCAGTGCTCCAAGTTCTCGAGCTGCCCTCACTGCGCTGGGACACTGACCCGGGACAGCAGCACCCAGAACCCCCTTCGGAGACACGGGGAAAGCACACACACGCACACGCACGCACAGACACACCAAGCCAGAGACTCCACGGCGGCAGGAAACCCCACTAGGGTACTGGGGCCCTGGGGCAGTCCTGGCCGGGCCCGGGAGGCCACACAAGCCCGCCCAAGCCTGGGACATCCGAACATGTATCTTCCTGGGGAGGAAAAACAAAAGGGTCATGGGCTCAACTGCCAGTCACCAACAAACTGTTCTCATGAATCAAGAGGTAGCAAAAGGTCAGAAGTCTCTCCACCTTGATCAGTAAGGAAGGAAGGAAAGCGCAACATCTGTCCACAGGCACCACGCACGCACACACGCGCGCACACACACGGAAAATGAAAAAACGCGAGTACCGACAGCCCTGGCATCAAGTCCAGCCTCCCCCCGCCCCCCACGAACCCCAGACCTTCCAATTCAAACATTCACATAAATGTTACACTGGTTTTCTCTTCATAAAAAAAAAAGTACCTCTAAACAAAGAACATTCCTCAGAAACTATAGGAAAAGCACTCTTTCTCCTGAGGCAGCGAGGCAAAGCTCGGGCCCAGGGAAGCCTTTGGGCAAGAAGGGCTTCTGGGGCAGGCGGGGCGGGAGCAGGACGGGGCGGCTGCCCGTACATTCAGTCTGCAGACCCGAGCTCGGCCCCAAGGGGCTGGGCGGACCAACCAACGCTTGGTTTTGGTTTAAAAACAAAATGCAAAGGGGAAAAGGAGCAGATCAGTAGGAAAAACACCAACAGAGGCCCAGAGAGGGCTCTTTAGTTGTGGAGAGGTAGGCAGCGGCGGGTGGGAGGGCCCTGGCTTGAGGAGGGTGGGCTGTGGCCCCCGCCCCCCGCCAGCACCCGGCCCGGCAGAGCCAGGGCGGCGGGAACGCAGACAAGCACTCGTACGCGCACACTACCCCCCTAACCCCCGGCACGCAGGGAGCCCCGCTCCTCTCCAAGAGAGGGGCCAGGGCCCGGCCAGGTCCCTGGGACCCGCTCCCACGGGCCTCCCGGCTGCCCGCACGGGGAGCCGGGGCCCGGGTGGGAGGGGGAGGTAGACGGGACCCCTGCGCCACAGCCGGGGGCCTCGCGCCCCACGCCCCTCCTCTCTTCCCTTGGTACAGACTGTCGATTAAAGCTCTAGGGGTGGGCTGGCCAGAGGTGCTGCCAGGGGCCACCCCGGCCCCGCCGGCCCGGCTCCTCGCTGCTCCCTCCTCCCGGGGCTCCCGAGGGCGAGTCTGCCAGGCGCCCGGGCCGGGAGCGGGGTCTTTGGCTTCTAGGAGGGGGAGGTGTGCATGCGCAGGTGGCTGATGAGGTTGCGCTGCTGCGTGAACTTGCCCCCGCAGAGCTGGCACTCGTAGGGCTTCTCCCCGGAGTGCACGCGCATGTGCTCGGTGAGGCGGTACTGGCGGGTGAAGCGCATGCCGCACTCGTCGCAGGCGAAGGGCTTCAGGCCCAGGTGGCTGCGCATGTGGCGCGTCATGGTGCCGCGCTGCGTGAACATCTTGCCGCAGATGTTGCAGGGGAAGGGCCGCGTGAGCCAGTGCGTCTTCTCGTGCTGCCGCAGCGTGGCCGGGTCCTTGTAGGTCTTCTCGCACACCGAGCACTTGAAGGGCCGGGGCTCGGCCGCGTAGGCCGCGCTGGGCGCCGACAGATCCTCGGCCTCCTCGTCCGCGCCGCCGCTGCCCGTCTCGTAGGCCCCCTCCTCCTTGAGGAACAGCTCCTCCTCCGTGTGGGTCTCCACGTGCGCGTTGAGCTGCTCCGAGCTGGGGAAGCCTTTGGCGCAGGGGATGCACACGTACAGGTTGTCCCCGTACGTGACGGTCTCGTAGCCTTCCTGCCGGTACATGTAGTGGGCCCCGACATGGCCACTGCCGCCCTCGCTCCCACTCTGCCCACTATCCTCGCTCCCGTCCTTGCCGTTCTCCTCCTCTTCCTTGCAGGAGTAGGGGGGCTCCCCGTAGGGCCCGCTGGGACCCGCCCCTCCGACGCCGCTGCTCAGGATGCCGTTGGGGACTCTGTCTCCGAGCCCGTCGCCTTCCTCCCCGGGGCAGGGGCCCTTGGGTCCCCCTTCCCGCAGCTCGAAGGGGGAGCCCGCCACGGACTCCTTCTTGCTCCACTCCTTCTTGCGGGCCGAGTGGCGCAGGCTCTTCCGAGGCGGCCCTCCAGAACTCTCCAGCAGGCTCAGGTGGTTGTCCTCAGCCCCCTCCAGATCCATGGGCTCCGGGGGGGCGCCTCCCAGCTCGGGATAAGAGGCACTATTGGCAACAGGCGGGGCAGAGACCGACAGGGGCGAACCCTGCTGACTGTCGCTCAGCTGGGCTGGGTCTTCGGGCGTGAGTGGGGGGCCAGGGGTGGCAGGGGGCAGCGGGGGGCTCTTCTTGGACAAGTCCAGGCCCAGTTCCTGCTCACATCCACCACTGCTCCCGTTGGTACTGCAGCTGCCCAGGCCAGCTTCCCCTCCGGCCGGACACACAGCCCGGCCCAGGCCGTGCACGCTCTCGTGGTTAGAGCTGCCCAGGAAGAGCTCGTCGTCGGAGCCTTTGGCCTGGGACAGCTCCTGGGGAGTATGGGCCCCCTTGCGCCCATCCGCCACCCCCGGGTAGCGAGCCTGGATAACAGAGGCTGTGGAGAGCCGCTGGCTACGAGGAGGCCGCCCCATACCAGCAGCCCCCACTCGTCCAGAACCAAAGGGTTTGCCAGCCCGCTTGAGTTTGCGGCGGCAGAGGGCTGCCAACTCGGGCAGCTGGAGGTAGCTGGCGGCAGTGAGGAGAGTGCTGAAGTTGGGCTCGGCAGGCTGGTCACTGGGCAGCAGCTTGCCCGTGTAGATGAAGTCCAGGATCTGCTGGAACACTGTGGAGCTGACCATGTCGGTGTCCAGATTGATGAGGTTGTCATGAAGCACCAGGGACTTGAAGTAAATGCTGCTGGCAGCCAGGACGTTCTTGTGGGCCCGGAAGATGGAGTTCTCCACCATGATGATGACGTCGCACAGGAACCCCTTCGTCCTCTGCTGGTTCAGCTGTAGCAGGAGCTGCTTCGAGTGGCTGGGCAGCTCCATGTCGGGCCCCATGTCCCCGCGCCCTGCCCACGCGCACCACCTGCAGGAAGAACAGGAGTGACCTGTTAGAGGACCAGGCTGAGTGCAAGGCCCTGGGCAGAGGGGGCTGCACTGGCACTCGCCTGGGTGCTGGTTGGCTCCTGGAGCACACAACAGAGGGGACCCTGCCGGCAGCCCTGTCTGCACTCATTTAAAAAGCAGATGGAAGGTTTGGGAAGTGGCTGGGGAAAATTCGAAATAATGGTGGTAGAAGGTATAATGGTAATGGGATTGGTGTTGGAATACCAAATTTAATAAACTACTGTGAACAACTTTATAAAAACTAAGAGTTCAGAGGTAGAGCACTTGCTTTGTACATTGTAAGGCCCTGAGTTCAGACCCCAGCCCACTCTACCCCCCAAAAAAGAAAGGGAGGGGCCAGCGGGTTGGGCGTTTGCCTTGCACATGACCAACTGGGGTTCAATTCCCAGCTTCCCATATGGTCCCCCAAGCATCTCCAGGAGCAATTCCTGAGTACATGAGCCAGGAGTAACTCCTAAGCATCGCTGGGTGTGACCCATAAAGCAAAAAAAAAGGGGGAAGGAATGGAGGGGGAAGGGATGGAGGAGGGGAAGAGGGGAAGAGGGGAGGAGGAAGAGGAAGAGGAAGAGGAGAACTACGCTGGAGGGCTGGGCTTAGATGGCCTGCGATGCAACACTGGGACCCGATCGCTGGCAATGCACAACACCCCAGGACCACCAAGTGAGGTCCACAACCCTGAAGAAAGAACAAAACCAAGGGCAGCAAAGGCCGCATGGTGCCAAGCAGAGAAAGTGGGCTGTGAATCTGGCTGCACAGCTCAGGGTTCCATATCCGGGGTGCAGAGGAGGAACACATGTGCAGACGACCAGCGGCAGGAGCCTGGAAGGGGCAGACACCGAGGGAGCAGGGGCGTCGGCCTGGGAGGGCTTGCTGCCCACGTGGCATGCAGCTGGTGACCCAAATCTCCATGCGAAAGCTCACGACTCTCCCTTAAACACTGTGTGGGCCCAACCAAGCATGCAGTTTCGGGCCCTGCCCTCTGCCCCACACTGCGAGTCGCTCACCAGCCCAGAGGCTTGCTCCCACATTTCGAGACATGCTCATGCCACATCACCATCTCCCAGACACTGGCGCCCCCGACCACCCCTTCAATGAGGCCTTCACCCACGAGGGCTTCCCTGCCAGGAGAGCCTGGCCCCAAAGCACTGCATGCCCCGAGTCTCCAGGTACTCGGCTGAGAAGCCTGGCTAGAAGACCCTCGCATGGCCTGGGTCTCAGGGAAAAGACCCTCCCCCACCCCTACCCCCCAACCAGCAGGCAGAAACAAAGAGCTCATGGCCTGACTTCCACACCGGCCAAGTCCCAGGTCCCAGCAAGACACGGAGCCGTGTGTTCTGAGCCTGGCATGGGGGTGGTCAGCAGGCTCCGCCCTGCACAGCCTGTGAGCCCACAACGGCCGCTTCTCCCCAGGCTCAGGGCAGTGGTTCCCAGGAGCCCCGCTGTGCTGCACATGGAGGACCACAGGTCAGGACGAAGGTCCAGAGCATCAGAGCTGCGCAGGCCGCCCAGAAAGCCTCCAGTAGGGGCAGGCAAACATCCCAGTCCCACCAGTCCCTTCCCTGACCTACCGGAGTGCCAGGGGCCCAGAAACCATGTGAGCAGCAGCTAGCCGGGGCGGCCTCCTGGAGTTCGTGGCCTCCCTGGGGGTGCATCAATGCCTGGTCACCTGAAGCAGAAGAGACACTCAAGGTCACCCTCACGTTCAGCAAGGGAGGGTCAGAAAAGGACAGCGGGGTCTTGCTGGCGGGCAATGGGGGCAGGACAGTGGCAGTTCCGGTTCTCCCACCAAGAAGATTTAGGATTCTCCAAGGGCCTTGCAGACTTGGGGGAGCCAGTGGCAGATGCACAAATGGGGCCAGCTTGCTTGGAGGAGCTGGGCAAGGCCCCTTCCAGGCTGGCCACATTTCCATAACAAAAGGTCAGAATTGGAGGCACTGGTGCAAGAGAGTCTCAGCACTGGCTCTCGGCCTCCGTGCCTGCCCACAGGGCCCAGCCCAGCCAGACCACATGGCTCAGGCCTTCAATCCCAGCCCACCAAACACGCTGGCAGCTGCCACCAGATGCAGATGGGCTCCCTCCACCCTCCGGAGCGTCAGGCCCCGTGGGGGCTGGGGGGTCCTAAGGTCCAGGCTCTCTGTACCCCCCTTGCAGGCCCGGGAGCCCCTGGAATGGCGCCAGGGGTGAGGGAGGAGGCGGGCAGCAGTTCTGAGCCCCTCCCTGCTTGCCCTTCCCCCGCTTCAGGGTCAGGGAGGCTCAGCAGGTCCCTCAGGAATGTGACCAGACCCGGGGTGCAGGGCGGCTCCAGCCTCCAGCTGTCTCCCAGCTCACAGGGAGGCAGAACCAGCCCTGGGGGTCTGATGTCTAAGCATCCATGGTTTACTGACGGTGGCCAGGGCCTCTGGGAGCAAGCCCCGCCCCGGGAGGGGGGTGAGAGAAGTCCACAACAGCCAGCCAGAGGCCTGGGACACAGCCTGTGTCACCCGACCCGACCCGTCCCTGTCCTCCTCCCCAGCATGTGCCTCCAGGCCTCCACCTCAGCTTGTTCCAGTCACTGTGACTCCCCACCACATCCGAGACCTCAGCAGTCGCTGGCTATAGTCCAGGGAGCGGGCAGTCCTACACCAGTCAAAGGTACCACCCCCACCCCATCACACCGGAAACCCCTGTGTGGGTGGCCCCGGAGATTTGACCCAGATTAGGGCAAGGGACCCACAGAGTGGGCTGGGTCACTCTTCCACAGCCTGACCTCAGGGCAGAGCGGGCCTCTGGCTGAACTGTGGAGCTGCCACCGGCGGCCAGTCCACTGACCGACCATCCAAACGAGGCTGGACCCCAAGTGCGTGCTTGCCACAAGCAACACATCCCCAATCTATGTGAGAGCTAACATGGAACCCCTCCCCATCCCAATGCCCTGTTCATCCCCTCCCAGCCGAAGTGACACCTGTCACAGGCCTGAGTGCAGGAGCCAGCAAGCGACGGCTCTGCTGAGGCCTCAGCCTGAAGGGGTGCCCCAGCAAGCTGGGGACACATACCCAGCCCCGACTAGAACCCTCCAGCTGGAATGAGGACAGAACCTGGCACCAGTTCCTGGCACCCAACAGTCCCTTGGCAGCAGGCCCAGGCGGCGTGCCTATCAGCCCCCAGGATACCACGCCCTGCTCAGGCCCACTGCCGAGCGGAAGCACTGGCTTCAGGAAGTCGGGATCCAGGTGGAGGCTGAGGCCAGGACTGGACGGCCAGGAGCACAAGCCGCTGTGGATGCCTCAGGAGGAGGGCATGAAGTAGAACAAAAGCCCCGGGTTGGCTTCCCCGTGCCAACAGAGCCATGGCATCGCACGCCAGGCCCTGAGCATGGAACATCCGCAGAGGCAGACTCTCCACGACACACCGAAGGTAGGCCGGCCCGGGGAGCTGCGGGAAGCTACCTCTCCCGCGCCCCTTCCTCCCAGCCGCCTCAACGAGCAGCAAGGAAGGGCCCAACAGCACGGCCATGCTGAGGAAAGAAAATCTCAGGAGCCCAGAGTTTGACCCCGGGCACCACCAGGTATGCACACCCACCCAAAAAATGTGCACGGGGGCTGAAGGGATAGTATGGGGGGAGGGAAGAGGGGTTAATAAGGTCCTTGCCGACCCGGGTTGGATCCCTGGGACGCCATATGGCTCCCTGAGCCCTCCAGGAATGATCCCTGAGCACAGACCCAGGAGTGCACACTGAGTAGAGTTAGCTATGGCAAAAACCAAAACAAACAAAAAAAGTACAAAGAACTCAATTACTAAGTAAGGTTATATCAGGAGGCGGCATTACAAACAATTGTTTCTCTATGTTAAGTTCTGAACTATTCAAACTTTACAGTAAGGAATTATGCAGAACAGACACAAATATGAAAAAATCTCAAAATTCCTATGGCCCTGGCAAGCACCGCACCCAACGTGCGCGACCTCTGCCATCGCAATGAGAACTTGTTCTGCTGAGCAGGAAGCCTACCCCGACCAGGCATGTGATTCCACCAACATAGAGCTTCAGGACAGGCAGAGACCAAGCAGAGGCCTTGGGGGGCAGCAAGCGCAGGCTCCTGAAAGGGACACTCAGTGTGGGTGCACTCACCAGCCAGAACTCAGGGTGTCGCTGGGGACTCTACACATTTCCACCCCCAGTGAGGGGGAGGGGAAAAGCTCCACCCAAAGGAGAAACCAAAGAGGCTTTCACAGGGCAGAGCTGTCTCAGAAAACTTCTGGCACACGGCTGCCTCGGCGCCCCCAGCACCCAGCCCGTGTGCGCGAGTGCTGGGCTTGCTGGGGCCCAGTGGAGCCCCTCCCATTGCCCCAGGCCCTACCCCCAACCTCTCACCTCCCCAAGAGGCAGAAGGCCCAAGGTCAACAGCTCAGAGGTGGCCCAGTCGGTGGCCCAATGGCCATGGGTGTGTCCACCCCTCCCTGCAGGTCGACCTGCAGCCCACCAGGGCACATTCAACCTCCTGTCCTGATGCCCTGAGTCTTACATTCCAGCAGCCTGAGGGCAGAGTAGCCACAGGGAGTGACCCCTGTCCCATAGGGCACTCTCTGACGAAGACCTGCCTCTTCAGACCAAGAACACAAACTCTCAAGTCCCTTCCTTGTCCCTGGGCACACAGCAGCCAAATGGCCACTGCCAACAGCAGCAGGTGGGGGCCCAGAGTCACCTAGAGGCCCTGAAGCAGCACCCAGCAAAGACCTACCCCACTCAGGCTCTCAGAGAGCGGGAGGCCACCAGGAGGCCTCTTCCTTCCTGGTACTCTACCCAACTGTGCTCTGGCCCAACACCCTTCAGAGACGGGGCGGTGGAAGGAGAAAGGGGACTGAGCCTCATACAAGTACTCGGGGCTTACTCCTGAACATGCCGGGAAGGGTCACTCACTCCTCGCAACGTTTGGGAGACCAGGCGGTAGAGGGGCCTAAATCAGGTCAACCCCATGCAAGGCAAATGCCTTACTTACCCCTTCCTATCTCTTCTGCCCCTGTGAGAGGCTGAGGTCAAAGTGATTCCTGAGCAAGTATCAAGAACAAGAAAAGCCGCCTCCAATCTTCTGCTGGACAACAGCTGCCCCACCTCATCCTGGAGCCCATGCCGAACAGAGCACTGACCACAAGAGACCCAGACCTGCTCTCTAACCTCCCGGGAGGGCCTCTGAAGCATGCTGACAACTCTGACCCCAACCTCCAGGGCCAGGCAGAGTGTGTGCCAGCCTCCTAGACACAGTAGAGCACCTCAAACCCTCCTTCCTGGCCCAGAGGTGGTGCCAAACCCAGGTTACTGTCTCACAGCTGGTACTCCAGACCCCCTTGACTGGATCTGCTTCAGACCCGACCTTGCAGGCAGGGCCCACCTCAGTCACCCTTGGCAGGAAGGCCTACCCCTCGGGAGACTTTGCCCAGCCCCAGCCTAGCCAGGACACAGAATTCTCCCTGGGGAAGACTGCAAAGGACAAAGCCTTGTTCTCTGGGAAGCCACTCCCAATCTCCTGGGGACCTATCTCACCTTCTTCCCTGGTCCCTTTTCACAGGAGGATCAGAGGCAAGATGACTGTCCCTTCACCTTAACCACCTCCTGCAAGAACACCTTGTTGGGGATTGAGTGACACAGAAACCTACCCGCTGGGGACCAAGAAGCTGGCTCAAAGCTCCTTGAACCAGGGAGCTTGGCTCGATGCCAGGAATACTAGGTTCCCTGAGTACTTAGCCAGATGTGCCCACCTCCACACCTCCCAAATAGAAATCATCCAGCTGCGGGGAAAGGAGGCTTCACACACAAGCTCAACCACCACGTGAGAGGCAGACACTCAGGGCAGAGGCAGGTGCTAGGCACTGGGCAAAGCACAGCCAGAAGACAGGTCCCATCCCTGGGGGCTTACGTATCCCCCCAGGCGAGCCCCACACATGCTGTCCTCCCCCCACCCCCCCCAAGGTCTTATTCTAGCCGACCCCCACGGGGGTCATGTGCCAGGGCCCAAACAAGCCCAGCCTCCTTCCCAAAGGGCCTGTTCCAGACAGAACTGCAGAGTGAGGAGCGCCTGAAACAGCCCGACACTCGTCCACAGAGCCCAGGACCCAGGAGAGCCCCAGGACTGCCCTGTCCTGTCCCTGAAGCCTTCAGCTCTAGGCTTGGGTGAATCCTCCGAAGGGCCTGAGCCTCTGTGCCCTGCCCATGAGGAAACTCACCTATCGCTTCCACCTCCAGGGCAGGGGTGGTTTTGGGGGCTCTAAGCAGCTTGCCAAAAGACAACGCGAGGAGGACTCAAAGCTAGTTGGTATGAGACTTCCCTATCCCTGGAAGAAAGGCCGGCACCTCTTGGGGGGGCGAGGAGAGGAAGTGTCGGGAGGACCACCATGCTCGCCTCATGGGACGAGCCTGTCCTGAACCCCATGTGTGAAGAGGGTCTGCCCAGCCCCTACACTGTGGACAAGTTTCTGGCTGGAAGAAGGCGGGTGGGGGTGTCATGCGGCCGCTCTGTGTGACCAAGCCTGCAGCTCCTCTGGAAGCACTCCTGGCCTCAGTGACCTTTCCGATCTGTCCCCCCAGGCAGGGACTGGTTGTGGGCGGGACGGCGCGCTCCGGGCAAGCCCAGCCCTGTATTCCACCACCGAACTGGATGGCAGCCAGCAAGCTCCTGGCTCTTCTCCCAGACCATC